GTTGTATGTAGCTGTCTCCCGTGTCACAAATAGAATTGGTTTGAAAATCCTAATTTGTGGCGACGATGAATTGCCAACAAATCAAACCATGAACGTTGTATATAAGGAAGTGTTCAATAATATATAGATTATTTTCCGTTATATTTATTAGTTTTTTATTTATTAATGACATGATGTTTACTGTACTACGTACTTTGATTTTTAATTTAAATTTGCTTTGTAAAGGGGACGGAAATTTTAACCCCCCGTGCATCGCACGGGTACTGTACTAGTATATATAAAGAGGTTGTTGGAAAAATACATTAATAGAAAGTTTCACCAAATAAATATAATGTTTGACTTACTATTAATGGAAAGTTCAAAAAAACACATGTGAATCTTTAGTAACAAAATCTAAATCCTATTTTTTGGTAACAAATTTGGAGATTTTTATGGCAAAATTTGAATTCTATTTTTTTCGTATCATATTTTAATTTTTTACCAAAATTTAAATCATGTCTTTTTTGGTAATAAATTTAGAGATTCTGATGCAAAAAATGTATGAAAACAATTCTAAATACAAATTAATTTAAAAACCGTGCAAATTGGATACAAATTTAGGAAGCAAATAGTTGTATAATTCTTAACAAATTATTCCAATCTTATTGAATAATTTTTTTCTTTCAAAAAAATTGTGTAACTTGGATAAAGCCACGTGCAATTTTTATTTTAAAATAAAACTGATATTTAGACGGATGTACATTCAAAATTGTGTCCACATTTTTTGGTAACAAAAGCGGTTCATCGTTGATATTTAAAGTCACCTTATCCAATTATTTAGGGAAAATTTGTGTGCAACTTTTCAAAATTTAAATGCATCGATTTTTTTGGATTCTTATGTTTTTTCTTAACCATGTTTTACCGAGATTTTGGTAAGTTCATATCATTTTTTTTGGTTAAGTTCATATCATTTTCTTTAGAAAAGAGACAGTTGCATAAATATTAACAATTTATTTTGATTTTTTATTAGAATTATTTTCAATTCAATTTGTTTGGTACAAAAATTGGTGCAATTTTAGGAAAATTCGGTTGCATTTTTAGGAAAAATTGATGATTTTTTTATTTGGTTTAAAAAAAAAATTCGTATCAATTTGTTTGATAAAAAAATCAGTTTATTGGTAAGAAAATCGTTTTCATTTCCAAGAGTAACTAATGATTCTTTTCAATTTTTCTTAATTTGAAATGTAGAATTAGATTTAAAATAAATAATAGGTGAAAGTCCCTAAATAAATCTATTTTTTTTTTCTACTTTGATTTTGTTTAATAAATAAGATCAAAAAAAGAAGTTTTTTTAAAATTTGTTAACTAATAATTAATAATATACAATTTTGGATAAACTCGAACACCTATGTAGTACTTTACGTGCCAAAGAATCAAATCAAAATTGTTGTACATAAGGAAGTGTTTATAACATAAAAATTTTATTTTCATGAAATTTTTAATGGCATGAGATAATATAAATACAAAAATACTTTTTAAAAATAAATAGGTGCTAAATGCTCTCGTGCATCGCACGGGTACCGTACTAGTTATAGTTAATATTAAAACAATTTGTTAAGTTAAGTTTGAGTGGTATTTTGAATTTGTATTAAAATAATATTTAAAATAAAATGATTAAAGTTGATTTGATGTAAAAATATGAGGGAAATAATTGGAAATGATGATCAATTAAAATTATAAGTGAATGGATAGTCAAATCAACCTTGGACTTTTATCCTTAATAAAAAAAAATGGTGTAATGATAAAAGTTCTAATTTTAAAAGTCATGTTCATAAAAAATTTAAGTTGATATAAGAACTATTAACTCTAAATAAAAGAAGACAGAGTAGAATGGTTGATCCATGTTCATTACTTCTTCCTCTGCAAGACTGCAACCAAAAATTACAGAAATTTGTCTCCTTTTCAGTTTTACGCTTTCATTTCAATGGTTGCTCCAACTGTGGGGAAAACCCTACTCATCGCAACATTGTTATCATTCTCTGTATTTCTAGCCCTAATTTTGTTCACCCCTTTGCCCTTTTCCCAATTTCCTCTCAGTCGTCCACCGTAAGTCACCTAATTTGCTCAAATGTCACATACTTAGACGCGGCATATTCTTTTGTTCTTTTGTAGCTGTTGTTATTGTTAATATTTTGTATCTTATGATCTGATTAAATAAACTGGAACAGGTCAGAAAGAGCTGAGATATGGAGTTTGCGGAGATTGTTCGAGTGGCGGCCTTGCAATTGGTGGCTTCAAGGGCCTCCTGCTGGTTAGCTATTATTTTAATTTGATTTGTTTCTTCGAGATTTTTTTTTTTTTTTTCATTTGTATTGCGGATCTTATTTGCTGTGTATTGGAGTCTTCGGTATTGTAGGTTACTGAAGTTTGCTTTCTAGTATAATCAACTGTTAAGAAAATTGAATGTCACAATTTGAGCTTGGTGAAAAATCTTGCATTGTGGCGTTGTCGGTATTAGGACTAGTTGATGGTGTAAAGGGACTCTATGAACATTGTGATCGCTAGTGTTCGAAACTTTGTCTGAGTAAAATGAGAATTGGTGCTCTTTTCTCCACAGTGTTAATATGAGGAGTGAGTATTGTATAAGTTCTCTTGGTTATAGCTTCAATGGTTGCATAATTGAGTGTTATTTTATATTTTTTTTCCTGTCTGTTATGTTACTTTGAAGAAGTGAAATCTCGAATAAGTCCAGTGACTGAACTAGGAGGCTAGAAAACATAGTTAGTAGTATATTTAGATTTTGGTGAAATTTGTTTTTCATCTAAGTCAACGTTGACTGGCATCAAATGCAGACGTTTGCTTTGGTTTTTTGTGTTGAAATGCTGCAGCTCTGCCAGCCAAGAGCAATGGGTATATTCGAGTGGATTGCTATGGTGGCCTCAATCAGATGAGAAGAGACGTGAGTACTTTATCATAATACATAATTATTGTTTTTCATTAACCTATTCATTCTTTCATATCTTTTTAGTAACTGATAAACAATTGCAGTTTTGTGATGGTGTTGGCATTGCCCGCTTGCTGAATGCCACTCTTGTTCTACCCAAATTTGAAGTAGCTGCGTATTGGAATGAATCTAGGTAATAAATGTGAACCCTTATACTTAGAGAAATTCTATAGTCGCGTGTTGTTGATTGAGTAGTCTTAATCCTTAAGACAAATTTTATTGACTCAAAATTTGTTGATACAGTGGATTTGGTGATGTGTTTGATGTGGAGTATTTCATGCAAAAAATGAACGGCTTTGTCCATATTGTGAAGGACCTGCCTGCAGAGCTTGCATCGAAAGAGCCCATTAGAGTTGACTGTAGCAAACGTAAAGGCTTGTTTGATTATGTGGAAACTGTACTCCCGTCACTCTTGGAGCATAAATACATTTCACTTACTCCAGCAATGAGTCAAAGAAGGGATAGGTACACATCCTAAGATGCATTTAGTGTGTGTGTGTGTGTTGAAATCTTCATTTTCTTTAAATAAACTGATCTTGTTCATACTGTAAATTGCACCTTTATGCATCTTATTGTGTCGATTTTGATAACTTATCTGCATTTTCAGTTTTTTGTTTTTAATCTTCTATATTTCTGAATGCATTTTTGTCTTGTGTTCTTGTGTTGAGAACCATTTTAAATTCCTGAGGAACACATTTGAAACCACCAAGGACCTGGTCATCTCAAAATATCACTTTATTCAATTCTGTACAATGCCCTTTTTTACCCCAGTAAACCTTTAAATTGTGGCCCAAAGTTTAGTTTTTGCTTCAAGTTGGGCCCCGTTCTTCAGACTTCTCAGTTCGGGGGACAATTTTTATTTTTTCTTATACAATCCATTTTATTCCCAGTCCCCAGTTGAGGAACCAAATTATTTTCTGTTAATTCTCAAATCAAGGCATGTCGAAAGCTTCAAAAGCAAAATTTGGACCTTTTCTTATAAAAAGAATAAAATTCAAGCCCTGAATTCAGAAGCTTGAAAGTTGAAAAGATTAAGTCCTCAAACTAATATAGAACAAGGGAGAAATGAAATTGCACTTTCTACTGAAATTGATCCTAAAATGGGATTGAATTTCTACCTTTACTGAAATAGAAATGGCAGACCATCTGTGATTCTCCTTTTATTCTTATCTTCAATAATAAACACATTGATACAGTTTAAATTTTTTCAACCCAATCTTTATCGTCAATTATATTGCAGGTATCCTCTATATGCAAAAGCCGCTCTTTGCCAGGCTTGCTACAACGCTCTACGCCTAACCACTACACTGGAACGAAAAGCTTTGAAGCTTCTAGAAGCCATTCCAAAACCTTTCCTCTCACTCCATCTCCGTTTTGAACCTGACATGGTGGCTTACAGCCAGTGCTCGTACTCTAATCTTTCCCCTTCCTCCATTCAAGCAATCGAGTCTGCACGTGGAGACAGAAAACCATGGACCGGTCAACAGGCCCGTTTATGGCGTGCTCGGGGAAAATGCCCCCTCACACCAAACGAGACAGCTTTTATTCTCCAATCTCTCTCTATACCCACAAACACAAACATTTATCTGGCAGCTGGGGATGGTGTTATGGAGCTCGAGGGTCTAACAAAGGTTTATGCCAATGTTTTTACCAAATCTATCCTTTTGAATAGTGAGGATGTTAGAAACATGCATGGGAACACGAAGGCCGCTTTGGATTATTACGTGTCGATCAATAGTGAGTCTTATGTGGCTACTTATTTTGGTAATATGGATAAAATGGTGGCGGCCATGCGGGCTTTCAAGGGGTTTTATAAGACGCTGTTTTTGAGCAGGAGGGGATTTGCGGCTTTGTGTTCGCAGGGGCTTAAGGGTAATTTGCTGATGGAGGCTTTGTGGAAGGTCCATAGGGATGATTTTGTGATGGGGGTTGGGTCGGCCCTGCCCGACTGCTTCTGCGAATTCAAACTATGAGGTGGGCGTACAATACAGCATACATGCTGGTTTTTTCTTATAATTCGAACATTTTTTTTTTTTTTTGCCTTATTTTTTATGTAATTGTAGCCTGTAGTAGATTTTTTTATTGCACTTCCCGAAAAATGAAGCATTCTTTAATTGTTCTAATTGCAACAATCATATGTATCTGTGATTCTACCCTCACGGCTGAATTCCTTTGAATCAATTAGGTGTTTTACAACATTTGGCAGTAAAATGAAATACATGAAGTTAAGATATTTGCCATAGTTCAGTGAAAGTTAAGAGCATAAGCTGTATTGTATTGCTTGTCTTAGAATGTCCTGTTCCAGGCAAACTAAAAAGATCAAAACAAGTTCCAACAAAAAAATGGTCTGTTTTCAACTTCTCGCCCGCATTGCGTTACTAGTCTTTCGATGTAATGACGAGCAACCCCATTACACCAATAAGAACATACTGCAAAAATGTTAAAAAGAAATGAAAAAAAAAAAACACGTGAGTATCGTGTTCCACTTTCGACTCATCAGAAATGTACAGAAAAATAAAACAGAAAGTGGCAAAACGAACAAGTGAAAGAAAATCGTACAAACCTTTATCAACGGGTTTTCGGTCATAATGATGGTAGCCCAGCCTACATGAGGTAAGAATCTGCAAATGGGGAATGAAGGAAAAATAGATCATATTGTGCAGATAAAATACTGATGTGAAGGGAGTGTTCGTAAAACTCAGGTTCTTTTCGTAATTCTGGAATAACTTCATTTTCTCGCAATAAAAGTCTAAACCGGAAGTGATTTCCTTAACAATTTTGAATTTGAGAAAACAGACAACACATACCCAATAGCTTTTCCCATGATGTGTTCCTGCTTTAACCATAGCTGACCGGGAGCATATAAGGGAATATCATCACCATCATTGTTATCACCTGATTCAGAAAAAAGTAAGAATTTAGAAACTAACAGTTTGCACTGAGAACATTAATCAATGGCATAGCAGTGTTTGGAGGAGGTCTATTTAACAAATGATTTGCACCTTTTGTAAGGATATCGACTTCTCCTGTATCTTGCCTTTCGTGAACCTATTCAAAGTTGAAAATTAATACAGTATGCTTCACATGAATACATGGTTTTGTAATCAATTTGTAAGAAATTCACATAAAATGATGTTTACCTTAATCACTCGGTGGACGATTGGAATTTCACGATTCTGATAGTAATACAA